AAAGCTCATGGCAGAGGATTTCAGCTGGGCGCTTGGAAACGAGGTGTTTTTAATCAGAGGTTTGCGTTTTAAAAAACATGTTTGATTTCACGTAAAGAAGAGCTTTTTCATGGGACTGAAATTGTGACGTGCAGTCCGAGTCACGTCAGTGGTTTTCCGTTGGGGGCTCAGGGACAAAGCCACGCGCGGATGGGGGCAGAGACAGTGCATTCGGGGCGGCGTCTGCTGATAAAGAGGCTGCGGGAGTCTGTCAGTGATGTCTGGTAACTAGGGCATAACTGAGTTAGGACCATGTGCCCTTCTAGATACTTTCGTTTTAAATAAACCTGATAGAATTTCAAGCTTACAGATTTACAGAGAAATAATCAGGTTCTGCAGGGCCTGATTATTTATTTGCCAAACTTCAGAACAACCTTATAGAGGCACCTATGAAGATAGTATGTTATAAATAAAAGAGACAAAGAGAGTAAAGGAGCAGCTTTCGGGATCTCCCGACAGATCACCTGGTACACTCTCTGGGGTGTGTTCACCCCGCTTGAGAGACCACTGAACTATGAACATATTAAAAATCTTGGAGTTCCTAAGTTACAACAGCCAGGTACTTGGCCTAAATCATAACAGAAGTGGATTCAGAGATTCGGGGGGTTTAGACAGAAGACCCCTCTAGTGTTTAAAATACAATTAACTTCCCAGAAATATGATTTACACATAATTCTCAAAAAAAATCTGCAGAAATGAGGCTCAGGTATCCTCTGACTGATACAGTATGAAAAGCTGTGTTTAGTTTGAGAGCTTATGAAGAAAATTATGACTGTCACACATACTATTACAACTAACCTGCCACTAAAGGACTTGGGGTATTCTGTAATATACTTTATGAATGTGTTTCTGGTGATTAAGAGTATTCAAAACTCCAACTCGAAGGCATTCATCACAGCCAGTCACTGCTACTGTTCTCACTAAAAATCATAAATATGAGTCCAGCCTCCCATCTAAACCACCCCCCATAAAGGGGTTGTCAGTAGACTTAACCTACTGTGCAAATAATAAAGGCCAGTCATTCATTTGTCCCCAGCACATGCCTTAGGACCAGAAGACAAATTTTGGTCTCATCTAGAGTTTAATAACAGAAAGTATCAATCTCTTAAAAAGCTCTGCTATCACCACACCTTCAAAGCCATCTTTACTGAGCTCTCATATACTAGTGCAAGGTTGCAGAACTAAAAAAATGATAAATAAGCCTGGTCCTGTCTTTTCAAAGCGCTTCACACTGGATTCCACAGGCACAGAGAGAGAGAAAGGAAGACTCTAACAGAGACTCACACAATGCAAGAACTGGGGCACTGGAAAGGTCCAAGTTCCACTAAGTCCCTGGATGTAACCCTCACTGGTCATAGAGAAGGAGAGGAAATGAACACAGCCTGGGAAGGAGGCACAGAGGGAGGTGCATGGGCAGGGGTAAGGGACAGAGGCAGAGCAGAGAGCAGTGAAGGTTGTGCTTGGGCAGGTGGAGGGAGAAGGGGCAGATCTGGGGAGGTGGTTGCTCAGAGCCCTGGGGCAGTCAGGTGTGTTCTGACCCTGGGAAGGGCCCTGAGGGAAGGGCAGCTAGGTCACTGCAGCAGAAAGGTTGGTCTTTTCCATAGATCAATAGAACAGAATAAAAAGCCCAGATATAAACCCCCACAGATGTAGTCAATAAATATATGATAAAGGAGCTATGAATATACAGTGGGGGAAAGAAAGCCTCTTCAATAACAGGTGTTGGGAAAACTGGACAGCTACATGCAAGAGAATGAAACTGGATTACTGTCTAACCCCATACACAGAAGTAAACTTGAAATGGATCCCAAGACCTGAATATAAGATGCAAAACCATAAAACTCTTAGAAGAAAACATAGCCAAAAATCTCTTGAACATAAATATGAGCAATTTTTTCCCGGACTCATCTCCTTGGGCAAAGGAAACAATATCAAAAATGAACAAATGGGACTACATCAAACTAAAAAGCTTCTGTACAGCAAAGTCTACCATCAGCACAACAAAAAAGCATCCTACATTATGGGAGAATATATTCAAAAATGACCCATCTGATAAGGGGTTAACACCCAAAATATATAAAGAACTCATACACCTAAACACCCAAAATGCAAATAACCCAATTAAAAAATGGGCTGAGGACCTGAACAGACATTTCTCCAAAGAAATGCAGATGGACAACAAGTATGTGAAAAGATGCTCCACATCACTAATCATCAGGGAAATGCAAATCAAAACCACAATGAGACATCACCTCACACCAGTTAGAATGGCCACTATCCAAAAGACAAGAAATAACAAGTGTTGTTGAGGATGTGGAGAAATGGGAACCCTCCTGCACTGCTGGCGAGAATGTAAACTAGTGCAGCCACTGTGGAAAGCAGTATGGAGGTTTCTCAAAAAACTAAAAATAGAAAGAACATATGGGATGTGAACAGTTCCCAGGAATATGTTGTTTTAATTTGTCTGATTTTTCTCAAAATATTCAAATTCAGTTAGACAATATCCATCATATCATTGATAAGTTTTCACAAATGCCTAGGGTGCCTAACTGGTTTTCTTGGTTTCACTGGATATGGCTGGTAATTGTAGATCTGCTTTAGTTATGTAGCTGTATTCCTATTATATTAATGTGTGCACGCAATTTGATTTGTAATTTAAAACCTATACATGCTTATGTTACACTACAAGAAGGTATGTCAAAGAAATAATCAATCTTCCCATGTTTTCTTCCGTCTGCTACTTCTATAGCTTCTCTTCTTCCTTCATAATTACAACCTCTAAGTAGAATTCGTGTCTCATATAGAAATTACCGAGTATCATAATTCTTCCAAGTGGTAAAGATACCTCAAGACAAATGCTGGGCATAGAAGCCACAGGGCATAAATCTGCAAAGAAGTAAAAAGCTAACCTTTTCAAACAATATGGCTTCTCTCTCACTTACCAACTTTACATTTCCCTGTATGGCCCCGGAAGATGACTGGTTAGCCAGAGACGGGTAAGATTCCTCAAGGGAGGAACAACCTAAGACAGGCACAGTCGCAGGGGGGCCATCAGGTGAGAAATTGGGGATCAACAGAGGTGAGGCTTAGAACCTCACCCCCCCTGTTTTGAGAGAAATCTTCTGCATCCGTGGATGTTTTGTTGCCCTTGTCTAGCTTGGATTAATACTTAGTCTACAGGCACACACCTGATCATCTACATTTGCCCTCTTACAACACTAAATTATGTTTTCTACCTTTATCTTGCATCTACCTACCACTTCAGCATTTTATTTAAAAAAAATAATAATAAGGGAGAAATGTGGGATTCACATATAAATCAAGTATAAAAATCAAATGAATAATCATATCTGACTTGACTGTTTATAGTTCATGATGTGTGATCAAAACTGAAAGTTTCTGTGATATGACTGCCCTTGCACTGTTCACCATGTAAGAACTTATTCACTATGTAAGAACTTGTTCACCATGTAAAAACAAAACAAACAAACAAAAAAACTAAAAATAGAAATACCATTTGACTCAGTAATTCCACTTCTAGGATATAACCCAAAGAAAACAAAATCCCTGATTCAGAAAGACATATACCCCCTATGTTTATCGCTGCTTTATTTACAGTAGTCATGTTATGGAAGAAACCTAAATGTCCACCAATAGATGGATGAAGAAGAAGAAGTACATATACACAATGGAATATTCTTCAGCCATAAGAAAGAAAGAAATCCTGCCATTTGCAACAACATGGATGGAGCTAGAGGGTATTACGCTCAGTGAAATAAGTCAGGCGGAGAAAGACGAACACCATATGATTTCACTTATTTGTGGAATATAAATACAAAGCAAAACAGAATGAACAAAACAGCAGTAGACTCACGGACACTGAGAAGTGACTAGTGGTTACCAAGGGGGAAGGGTTGGGGTGGTGGGTTGGGATGGGGAAGGGAATAAAGGGGCACAAAAATTCTCAATCATAATTAAATTGGTCCCAGGGATGGTAGTACAGCATAGAGAATATAGTCAATGATTCTGTAACGTCTTCCTATGTTGACAGGTAGTAACTGCACTAGTGGGGGTGAGGATTTAATAATATGGGTAACTGTTGAACCACTGTGTTGTACCTTTAAAACCAATATAAGTTTGTATTTCAATAATACTTCAATAAAAAAATTAAAAAAAGGGCAGATTTTCTTTTTAGCAGCACCATGAAACACGCCACAAAGACTGGTGGACTGAGAAGGGCCAATAAGAAGATGTAAAGGCCTTTTACACAATGGACATTACCTTGCAGAGGGAGTGGTTAGTGTTCTACAGGAGGAACAGCTATGTAAAGAGCTGATGCGAGCAAACAACAGTGTTGATTCTGGATCTTGCAGGAGGCAAAGATGTTTCCCATCAAGAAACAGTGAATTTGGTTCTTCCTATGCTTGAACTTTGAATGACCTTCCTTTTAACTTTGGGGTGTGGTGAAATGTATATAACAAAATTTTCTACTTAACTATTTTTAGTATGCAATTAGGTGGCATTAATTATATTCACAATGTTGTGTATCCATCACCACTTTCTATTTCCCAGAACATTTTCATTACCTCAAACCAAAACTCTGACCATTAAGCACTATCTCCCTGCTTTCCCCTCCCTCCTGCCCCTGGTAATCTATGTGAATTGGACTACTGTAGGTACTCCATGTAAGTATATGGACAGACAATATTTGTCCTTTTGTGACTAGCTTAGTTCACTTAGCATAATGTCTTCAATGTGTATCATGTCGTATCATGGATCAGAACTCCATTCCTTTTTATGGCAGAGTAATATTCCAGAATGTGCAAAGGCCACATTTTTTCTGTTCATCCACTGATGGACACCTGGGTTGTTCCCACCTCCTGACTACTGTGATAATGCTGGGAACATGGGCATGGAAGCATCTATTTCAGTCCCTGTTTTCGATTCCTCCCAGTCTTTACCTGAGCCACGTGGTCATTCCATGTTTAGCTTTTTGAGAAACCACCAAACTGTTTTCCATAGCGGCTATACCATTTTAATATATTCCCCGCAGCATGAGAATTCCAATTTGTCCACTTGTTCTTTTCTGTTTCTTAGTAATAGCCAACCTAATGGGTGTGAAGTGGTCTCTCATTGGGGTTTTGCTTTACATCTCCTGAATGATGAATGATGTTGTACATCTTTTCAGGTGCTTGTTGGCCAGTTGTATGCCTTCTTTGGAGAAATGTCTATTCAAGTTCTTTGCTCATTTTAAGTGGGGTAACTTAATCTTGCCTGGATCTGTTCTCTGGACTCAGCTTAGCTGTTCCTAGCACTGACTCGGTGCAGGATGGGAGTGGTGGTCTCAGACAGCTGGAGGATCCTTCAGTTCATTTTCACCATCTTGAAATAAATCCTTGATTTTCCTAATTAAGAAAAATGCTTCCATGTTACTACACGGATGGACAGTCACTGCAGTGGGGTGTGGTGGGGGACTTGATAATATGGGTGAATGTAGTAACCACACTGCTGCTCATGTGCAACCTTCATAAGATTGTATATCAATGATACCTTAATTTAAAAAAAGAAAAAAGAAAAATGTTTCCACTCCAAACACTAATATCACATGGGTCTCTAGAAGGTAACCTAGGAGGTTTAGCATTTAAGTAACACATGTCCACTGAGTTCACAACCTTAAATGTGGGACAAATAAATGTATACCCACTTAATCTCCCACATATTAACTGAGTACATCCTGTGTGCCAGAGATAATTTTAGGTTCTGTGGATACAGTAGATGGAGACTAGACAGAATCCTTTCTTATCATCCATGGTAGCAAAGTGACAATAAGCCAAGTGAAATCTGGTTGTAATGGTTGTGATGAAAAAAATGAAACAGGGTATATAAGGTGATGTGGTGTGATTATGGTGGGAAGAATGGAGACTTGCGTATAGTGCGGGAACGAGCCCCATGGACCGTAAGCGTCAGGAGGGGGACCCAGCTTAGAAGCCTTTGCTAGGCTCCTGGAGAGAGCATGCATGGCTTCTCAGGAACACAGAAGGCCTGTGAGACTGGCGCAGGGAGGGAGGGTGGCATACACCACACCCCTATGTAATTTACCTGTATGTGAGCTAACAGGCCCTGAAGCACCAGGATTCTGTGGATTGACTCTAGGTCCACGTTCGACATTGCTGATCCCCCATAAAGGTTTAAATATAAGCATCTCATACAATTTCCTTACCAGGCAGGAATTACGTCTGCCATTTTTCTCTTAATTTTTACTTTTAATAGTGATAAAATACACATGAAATTTACTCTCTTAACCATTTTGCCACAAGAATTTTTTTGGAATAGATATTACACACAGAAAAAAAATCTGACTTAGTTCAGTTTTGCTAAAAAAACCTTAAAAATGTAGAGTGTGGTCTATTAGCAGTCTCGACACAGTCACCATTTTGCTTTGGCAAACGTTAAACTGACTTTATAAGCTACCCTGCAACTTGCTTTTTATGGACCCATTTTTTCCTGACCACCTTGGTTCCAGACATGGTCCTTAAAGAAAAACAGGGGTGTTGCACTTATTCAAATGGGCACACATCAAAGGTCTATTGATTTTTGTTCAACCCTTTTCCTTACTTTTTGTACAATGCACTTATTATCTCCGCTCCTTGAAAACATACGGCCCAAGGGAGAATGAAGAAACAATCTGGCATTTCAAAACTTTAATTGCAAGTTTCTTTGTCTTCCAGAGAGATAAAGAGTGAAAAAGTTTGCAGCTATGGGCTACCCTTGTGTAAGGAAGGTTTGTTTCCTAAACACAGTACTTAGGACAGCTTTGACCTGTCCTTATGTTGTCACTCAACAGGCTCCAGTGAATGCCCCTTTATTATCCCAGAGTGAATGGTGGGGTTTTTTTTTTTGTCATTCTTGGATATTTTTTTAACTTTTATTCATTTTAAATGAGAGTTGCTTTCCCTTCTTCCCTGTAGTAAATGTTGGGGACCCCTATGCTTCCAAGAGCCCACTGATCTGTCAGAGGTCAAGGACCTTTCTAAGCCATGCCTCATTCTGGACGTATAGCAAGCTAATATGGCCATGAGGCCCAAAGCGTCAGGGAAGGGACTAGATGGCTCCCGGCCTTCAGGGTAAAGTCCAGTGCTTCTCAATTGTGCATAGAATCACCTAGAAATCTTAATTCAAAAGCAACTTGTGATTCAGTAGATCTGGGGCAGGCCCCGAGATTCTGCATTCCTAACGGTCTCCCAGGTTGCTGGTCTTTGAGTCGCAAGGCCAGGGATTACGTTAAAAACCAAGAGAAGAAGGAGGGGAGCCAAGATGGCGGCGTGAGTAGAGCAGTGGAAATCTCCTCCCAAAAACACATAGAGCTATGAAAATATAACAAAGAAAAATCTTCCTAAAATAGAGACCACAGGACACAGGACAACATCCAGACCACATCCACACCTGCAAGAACCCAGC